GCTTCTTCTGATTCAAAAAATCAGAAATTGAACATGGAAAAGAACCAATTGCAGGAGGACAAAAATATGGAAATTTCAACATTGAAGCAAGAACTGGAAGCAACCAAAAAAGCATATGAAGCACAATGCTCGCAATTGGAATCAGAAGCTAAGGATGCTGAGGCTGAATTGAGACAGAAGTCTCAAGAATATGAGCATCGATTGGAAGAATTAAGAAATAAGTTTAAAGAGCTTGAGGCTTCTTCTGATTCAAAAAATCAAAAACTGAACATGGAAAAGAACCAATTGCAGGACGACAAAAATATGGAAATTTCAAGATTGAAGCAAGAACTGGAAACAACCAAAAAAGCGTATGAAGCACAATGCTCACTGTTGGAAGCAGAAGCTAAGGATGCTGAAGCAGAATTGAGACAGAAGTCTCAAGAATATGAGCATCGATTGGAAGAACTAAGAAATAAGGTTAAAGAGCTTGAGGCTTCTTCTGCTTCAATATATCAAAAGTGGAGCATGGAAAAGAACCAATTGAAGACTACTATAAATTTTCAATTTAGTTCCCTACAGGTATACTTACAAATGTGTTAATGTCAATGTTATCGTCGTGATGTCAAACATTACAATTTTGTATTGAATTTGCAAACATCCAGAAATTGAAATTATCTTGGGAATCCATTAAGCATGATGTTATGAAAGAGCAAACGGTTTATGCAGAGGAGTATAATCGATTAGGTAGGCCTTGTTATTAGAATGTCATTTCAGTGTTCCACCTTCCTTTATTTTTGGGAAAGTCTCTGATTATTTGATTGTAAATTGTTCAGGAGTAAATCTTAAGTCAGTGGTACAAGCAGCTGAGAACTACCAAGAAGTTCTTGCTGAAAATCAAAAATTGTTTAATGAAGTTCAAGAGTTAAAAGGTGGCATTATCTGTGTCTGTCTATTACGTTATTGATGTAGGTGTACTGTGAATTCACATAAAGTTTTTTTTTATATACAGGAAATATCAGAGTATATTGTCGAATTAGACCATTTCTTTCAGGGAAAAATGAAAAACAGTCTATTGTAGAACACATTGGTGAAAATGATTTGGTCGTGGCAAATCCCACCAAAGAAGGGAAAGATGCTCTTAGATCATTCAAGTTTAATAAGGTTTTCGGCCCTGCCTCAACTCAAGGTTTATTTCTATATACTCATCATTTTTAAGATTAGGCTATGGATGGGTATCCAATATCTGTAGATGAAAAATTTTGCATCATGATTCCTGTGTGTTTAGATTACAGTTTACATTCTGATGTTGTACTCATTATACTGATCTGAATGATGCAGTGGAGGTTTACTCTGACATCCACTCCCTTATAAGATCAGTACTCGATGGATATAATGTATGTATATTTGCTTATGGCCAAACTGGTTCAGGAAAAACTTACACAATGGTATGAAACCTCTGGACTTATTGATTTCATCTCATACATCATGCATGTAAAGGAATTCCTCATTATATAAGATGCCAACTTTTCTCAGACTGGTCCAAATGGAGCTACAAGTGAGAATCTTGGTGTTAATTATCGAGCTCTGAATGACCTTTTCAAAATTTCCACAAGTAGAGCAAGCACCATAATCTATGAGGTTGGGGTTCAAATGGTTGAGATATATAATGAACAAGTGCGTGACTTGTTATCAACTGAGGGTTCTGCAAAAAGATATCCTTTTTCCAAAAACTTTGATCAGTTTCTACTTTGCATGAACTTTCTTCTTCTAGTTTCTTCTTCTTTGATTTCCTTGATTTGCACACACTTGGGATATTGACTCAGACTCAATCCAAGGGTATAGCAGTACCTGATGCTAGCATGTACCCTGTCAAATCACCTTCAGATGTCATTAAGCTAATGGATATTGGACTTAAAAATAGAGCCATGGGAGCAACTGCTATGAATGAAAGAAGTAGCCGTTCTCACAGGTTAGACCCTTTCTTTCTTTCCTAAACATTAAACGTTGAAATGAAAGCTTTCTGTTATATGATGAAATCACATAAACTTATGTGTACAGTGTGGTCTCAATTCATGTTCGTGGGAAGGAATTGAAGTCTGGTTCTATTCTACTTGGTAATCTTCATTTGGTAGATTTGGCAGGAAGTGAAAGGGTAGATCGCTCTGAAGTAACTGGGGATAGGCTTAAGGAAGCACAACATATAAACAAATCACTATCTGCTCTTGGAGATGTTATTTTTGCACTTTCTCTAAAGAGCTCCCATGTACCCTACAGAAACAGCAAGCTTACTCAACTTCTGCAAACTTCTCTTAGTAAAATCTTTTGTTCATCATTTATTTATGCAAACATGCCTTGCTTTGCTATTTCGGTTTAGGTTTTCTTTTAAGCTTCTACTAGACTACATTTGAATCTTGTCTTTGATTTTACTGCACAGGTGGTCAAGCAAAGACACTCATGTTTGTCCAAATTAATTCAGATGTAAGTTCATTCTCTGAAACACTCAGTACTTTAAAGTTTGCTGAGAGGGTTTCTGGAGTTGAACTAGGAGCTGCACGAAGTAGCAAAGAGGGCAGAGATATCAGAGAATTAATGGAACAGGTACTTAACTTTTTGTGTTACTTACTTTTCAGCTTTTTGTGAATGCATCAAAATGCTTTTCAGTCGATCTAATATTCATTTTACACTTTGAGATTAGAAGTTTACCAAAGAGCTAATTATCTTCTTCCTTGTCTGACCTTGCAGGTGGCTCAAATGAAGAACACTATTTTGAAAAAAGATGAGGAGCTTGAGCGGCTACAATTACTTAAAGGTGCTCTTAAGGGAAACCAAAAACCATTAAGTGGAGATCATAAGTACCTTGAAGCTGATACCAAGCAATCAATGGATAACCATATACACCACGATGAATTTCTCCATCAATCCGAAACTTCTGGGGGAGATATAGGTAATATTGCTTCAAACGCAGAAACTCTGGGACTTTCAGATGCAGAATTTGAAGAAAGATTGAGTGATAATTCTGACAATGATCTTGCTCCGGGCACAGAAACTGATGCTTCTTCTGAAAATTCCATTCACAATGAAGGCTCAAAATCATCAGATAAGATGGAGAAGTAAGTAGTTCTTATATACAATTACACAGTTTTGGCTACTGCCCTTTAAATTCCTGCTAAACAATTTTACTAAAGCTTCCTATTAGAAAGGGAATTCTTCATTGACTAGGTAGGAACTTTAACACAGATATTAATTGAAAGCATAATCTCAAGTTATATATATAGATACACACACACACTTGTTATCTAAATAGATGTATTTTCCATGAGCCATCTGATGACAACTTTGTGATTGCTTTCCTAATACCAGTCTTATTTCTTTTTTAAATTCGTTCCTAATACATTGTTCAGGCTATTGCACATAGACCCATTCAGTACTATATAGCAAATCAGTTTGATGCATGTTAAATGTTGCATATACATTTATGTGAGTAGATGCATGTGTGCACTTATTCATAAATCTTGGACAGGGAACAGTCAGAGAAGATCAACATCTGTATCATTTAGTAGTAATGCTTAAAATTAATATGCATGGCATTTAATTTTTTTTTTTGATGCAGATCTAAAGCAATACCCAAAAATGTTCAAGCGATACGGAAATTAGGTCGAATCTCATCATCTACCACGAGTACAGTAAAGGATAGTCCCGTGAAGAAGTCGCCAGGTATGTAATGTAACAATAGAGAGGGTATGAATACTATATTAACCATTTCCTTTTTAAAATCTCTTATCTTTGAATTTTCAACTTTCTTCACAAAATTACTTTCAGGTATAAAAAAAAGCGCCAGTATTGGCCACCAGCTTAAAGCTCCGAAACGGTGGCAGTAAAGTAGGAGGCAGTAGTTATAATTCATTTATAATCTCGAGAGTTTGACGCGCATTATGTAAATATAATTATTTCATTAGTAAGTTCTAATACTTGACTTTTGGTCACATTGGTGACATTTTTATGTGGATATTGTAACCAATTTTGTATTCATTTGTGGATACTATAAATACTTTAGGAGCTAAATTGCATCAGTTTAAATGGTAAAAGATAATGATATACGTTCAACAAGTTCATGTGCGTAGAACAGTAAGTCACGATAATCATTTACGTTTAGAATAATCCTTATTGTTAGGTCCTTTTCCTAAGATTTTCGCCTTCCAACTTGCCCCCTCCTGAGTTCTGGATGAAGGAGAAAGCCCTATCCGACTTCACAATTCAGCTCATATGGGCCTTATTTATGAATTGTGCTGTCCCAACATCAACAACTAATCATTTTAGAAAAATTAAAAAAAAAAAGCACTTTTTGTGTTTGCCACATTCCCACTAACATGCATATCGGACATAGCTGACTCATCTCATCTCATCTCTCGGTCACCTTTTACACCACTCAACGACACCCTTTCACATCAGCAAATACTAATCCTCCATTTTCCAACAAATCATTCAACCAGACAATGATTAAAATACAAGACAAAATCCCCTCAAATCTGTGACCATGAAACGCGCTCCGTTGCTCCCTAAGACCCTTCCTAAAAAAGCATTAGTTTTCTTCCCATGTCTTTCTCTATAAAGCGCGCAATCATGGTAGCACTAATAAATAAACTCCTCACCTTTTTTTAGTGGTACAGTGCTATCTATACACAACTCTCTTTGAGATTATCAAATAGGCAACAACTTTAAACAGAGAGACACCCACAAAAAATAATAATATACAAAATTCCAAAGATTAATACTCAATTTCCTCCAAATTACAATTACTGAAGAGAGGATCTGAGTGACACACTGAATGATTATAACCTAAAGACACAAGAAAAAGGCTTTTCTTGCCTTTTTCTTTCCCTGCCTTGTCCTCTTTTATTGATAAATAAATAAAAAAACCTCCCCATCTCAAATGTACATGACACCATACTCATGAGAACAACTTGCACAGACCATTTATATACACATAGTGCTCTTAACAACATGAAATTAAGATTAGCTTTCATAAGAAAAAAAAAAAAAAAAACAACTTCTCTGCTATTTGAACTTGACTGACTTTTAGTCCTCTACCTTTTTTTTCTCTGCTTCCTGGTATTGGGTTCTCTCTTTTTCTTCTATTTATTTCCTTTATTCTTCAAAAATGGATTATGCTACCGCAGAGATGCTGCAGTTGCTCCTATCTCTTCTAAGGCAGTCAAAACCTTCGATCCTCACAGCAGCTGGTGTGTGACCAAATTTCATAGGAGCACAACCTCGAGCTGAAGAGGATGATGGCGAAGAGGGTGTCACGGTAAATGGATTAAAATTCCTATTCCCATCCCCAAATTGCTCATCTTGGATTACAGGATTTGAAGCCCTGCTAGGTGGAGATCCACAGAAAAATGGTGGCGACGATGCCACCACTTGGACCCCGGATCTTTCTGGATAACAGCTTTCCTACAAATAAATCAAATTGAAAAAGAAATCTTTGGTTAGATTATTTGAACCCCATGACAAAAAATGATGATAAAAATGCTATCATCAAAATTAATACATAAGCTTTGATCACAAACCATCACCAATTTGAGGTATCACAAGAAATTAACATTTTTTTTAATCATATAAAGTTAGTTTGTTTCTCAGGAAAATACTAGTACTATGAAAAATATGAAGATTGTGCAAGAAAGAAAACATTTTTCTATATATATGAAGATTGACATAGGGAATAACCTTAGGAAGGATGATATCCAAAAGCTCCGCCCCAATTCCTGAATCTTCGATCTCAGATTGGTAGCTGATTTTTTTGTGGGAACAAAGAGAAAGTGTTAATTTTTATAAAACGATTTGATTGAAAAATCAAAAAGATTGACTTAAAAATAAAAATAAAAAAATTAGAGAACTACCTGATGGGACGCCTCAAGGGTCTGATGTGGTTGTTAATGGAAGAGTGGTTTAACAGACCCAATCGACGAGGTTTAGGACACACCACTGATTCCATCCTCATCTCCTCACAGCTTGTCAAGGTGTTCTTCTTTTGGTACCCGTAGCAATTCATCTTTCCTCTCTTTGATACCTCGTTAAAACCACAGATCTTGACAAGGAACACCTGCAACCACAAATGAAAAACAAAAATAAAAAAATTAATCATACAAATCCTTTGGTCGTTGAAAAGTAAGAGAAAAATTTGAACGAAATCCAATGAAATCATAGACCTACACAAAGAATAAAAGAAACCCATTTTAACAATTTTCCTAGCACTTTAAGAAATCCACATAGGCTTAAAAAAAACTGAGAGTTGAAATCAAACATGCTAGAAACCAACCGTCTGAAAGCTTGTTCAGCAGCTGAACAAATCCACAGAGGCTTTAAAGTTTGAGACTTTACACACACACACACACGCGCAAAAGAACAAAAGTGAATTTAAACACCTAAGCTAAGTTTTCAAGTGTCTAACAAGACAAAGATGGAACCTTCATCTTCATGGGCCAAAAACACAAAACAGGTATTGAGAGATAGAGGGTACCTGAGCTGCCACAGAGTCAGAGGCTCCCCTAAGAGGAGAAGACGAAGAAGACACAAAATTTGGGCAAAGCAGAGAAAGAGAGGATGGGAGAGAGGATAGAGAGGGGTGTTGGCTGGGTATTCATAGACAGAGAACTGAAGAACAAGAATGTGATACAGTACAGGCAAGTGCACAGTCAGTGATGTAAGAACGCACTTGTGGAGCGTTGGATTGATGATTGAGATCTCTGATTCTGTTATGTGTTGACTTTGACTTTTTGTTCGGTGACACGGAGAAAGAGAAGTGATCTGATCCACACGTGGTGCCTGTCTGCCTCTTAAAATTGTTTTCTCTTTTTTGCCCTTTGGTTCCGCCGAGAGAAACATGGAGCTCTGTCAAACACATTGTGCTGTCCTCTGTTTCTGATTGCACTCTTCATAAGGTGCATGTGTGTATTTATTTATCGTGCCTTAAAACACCAATTTTCTGGCAAAAAAATTAATTTATTATTTTTTTAATAAAAAATTACGAATAAGTTGTCGTTTTGCAAAAAATTACGAATCTATAGCACCCAAACACGCCCACATGGGGCGTGTTCTGATGGAGAGAGACACGCCCATGTGGGGCGTGAGCTTGTGAAAGAAACACGCCCAAGGTAGGGCGTGTGTGGCAAGAGAGACACGCCTAGGATAGGGCGTGAGCTATGAAGCAAACACGACAAAGGAAGGGCGTGTTCCAGGAGAGAGACACGCCCACGATAGGGCGTGTTATCCGCGGTGTATATAAATCCGTTGGTTTAATTACCTGACCCTCCACGGGCAACCTTGGACGTGTGCACAACATTTCATGCTTAATTTTGTGGGAGTGCTCTCAACCACAATTGCTTCTTGATGCTCCTTCATGAGGTAGCGCTTGATTGCCATCTGAGCCTCTTTTTTGGATGTAAATTGTTGGTTAACAAACAACTTTTCTCCCAATTGCCAAGGACCCTGGATTGAACCCGAACTCTGCGTCCATGATTGTGCCTCACTCGGATAATCCCAATCAATATATGTGTGATGTGGAATTTCTGACCAAAAAGGATCAACAGGTGCATCGCCTACATGTACTACGTAATAATAATAATAGAATTGAATTATTTTCTTAATCAAAAATTGCAACAACCAAACTGTCAGTATATTAATTGATAGCATACCTTCAGGATGTTCTGGTACTTGACTCGATGTTGTGCCATGATGTACAACGATACGAGACTCCCCCAAATCATGCACTGGTTGAAGTTCAGTACCAGACCTGCCACATTCTTCGTCATTGTCCGATGCACTCGCATCCTCTAAAAGAAGACGATCCTCTATTGCAATATTTTCCTCATCATCTTCGTCATACTCCTCATCCATAACCCAAGTAGGGTCATGTTCATCTTCCTCAGACATGTTAACAGCAGGAACAACAGGAACAACAGATGATGATGCATTAAGAGGAGAAGTAGACCTAACTGACCTCATTGGTATGACAACTTCCTCCGCGGTTGTAGTATCCACATACAACTCTAAGAAATCCTTTCTACACTGGTTCAAGAACTCTTCCATTACCATATCGATGTCTTCGTCATCGACCACTTGCAAGCTAATGTATTGTTCACGTTGCCATAACCTTGCCGTGACAAGAGTGATCAATTGGTTGTCTTGAAGACATAATTTTTGACGTATTTTCTGATGCAGCTCAGCAACCGTTGAGTTTCGTTTAATACGTGATGTCCTTTTCTCCCCTACAAAAATAACACCACGACGACCTTCTTCTTTCCTACCGTTAAAATATAGAACGGCACGAATAGTATCAGAATTCGCACTCATTTTTAAAAACAAACAACTTTAAAAGATAAAACAAAATATGAGTAAACAAGTGCAAACTATCAGAGAGTTTAGCATAACAATGACAGAATTGTGAAGAGTGTGTAGGGGGTGGGTGTTTAAATAGCAGTCAGTTTAGTCACTCACGCCCATATTTGGGCGTGTCAACCCACTGAACACGCCTTATCTTAGGCGTGACCACACACGCCCTACGTAGGGCGTGTTTCCTTCTAAAGCTCACGCCCCATATGGGCGTGTCTCTCTCCATCAGAACACGCCCCATGTGGGCGTGTTTGGGTGCTATAGATTCGTAATTTTCTGCAAAACGACAACTTATTCGTAATTTTTTATTAAAAAAGTAATAAATTAATTTTTTTACCCCAATTTTCTTTCTTAAATCTAATTTCCATATATCAATCCAAAAAATATTTAAAAATTTATTCTATTTTCGTTGTGTTGTCCGAATTCCTTGTATCATCTTACACTAGATATTTTGTCCCTTCATTATAGCGGATTAAATTGGTGGGGACATTTTTACTTAGTAACTGATGGGTATGATTTATACTTTGCATTCAAATGATAATTGTTATTGGCAAGGTCAGCAGCGCCCCTAGGTCCGCAGAGATCTATTACTATTGTGGGCCTCTGACTCATTATATTTCCTTTTTCTTAGTAATTTGTTGCTTGAGCTCATAAATAGTTGTTGTTAGAATTTTCTAAATCGTATTTATATTCTCTTGTAAATTGAGTTACTTATAACGAGTGTCGGTGAGACGAATATAGTATAGGCAAGCTGAACGTAGCCTACATTGGGTGAACCAAGGTAAATCACTGTGTCATTTTTCTCTTCCTTTTCTGTTTTCTATTTCAGTTGTGTGTGTCGATTTCCAACACTTGGTATCAGAGTCAGGTTCCGATCGGGGTTCCTGTGACAACAGATTGAGATTTTTTCTTGGCGTAGAGAAGACTGCGAAGTTGATCTGAAAAGATATCAACTGCACAATCAGGGATCAAAGTTGAAAAGTTCAGAGGAAAGGGGTTCGAGTTATGGAACCGAAGATGGAGGCTTTGCTCGCCGATAGGGAGGTGTGATACATGATCGAAGATGAGAAGCCATATGTACCAACGAAAATAGTCGGTGACGGAACATCAGAGGTAGGCGAGTCAAAGGAGTTGAAGGCATGGATCAGAGATGATCAAAAGACGCGAAGCTTGATCTGGTTATACTTGGCAGATAATGTTCTGGTGAACGTGACTTCTGACAAGACCGTGAAGCATCTTAGAACGAAACTGAAAGGTCTCTATCAAAGCAAGTTACTCTTGAACAAGTTGTTCCTGCCAAGGAAGCTATATAATTTGAGGATGAGCAAATGTGATTCTTTCTTTTCTCATTTAAATGACTTTAATACTAATTGTGCGCAACTTTCGTCAATAGATGTCGACATGGACGAGGAAGATAAAGCTTGCACGTTGTTGTGTTCACTACCTAACTCTTGGGAGCACATCATTGTTTCAATCGCTATTGGTGTTAATAAACTGTCGTTCGAGACAGTTGTTGCTGCCTTATTATCTAAGGAGATGAGAGGGTAGGTTCTTAAGGTACCAGTAATAAGGCTCTGTTTGTTATAGGGAGGAGTGGTGACAGATCTAAATCTGGTTACAAAGGAAAATAGAGGGGAAGGTCTAAGTCCCGTGATAAATATGAAGTAAGGTGCTGGAGGTGCAAATTGGTTGGACACTTAAAAAGGAATTGAAGAAATAAAAGCGAGACCGGGAAGCAGGATGATCCACCATTTTCTGGTTCTGGTACAAAGAAGGATGATAGAGATAGCGCATGGGATCTATACATGGCATTTGACATTCATAGCGATTACAATGAATGGATTATTGATACTAGAGCATCCTTTCATATGACACCTCATATGGAGTGGTTATGCACTTATAAACCATATTCTGGCGGTACAATCAGTATGGGAGATGACACGACTCATGCTATTATGGGGAGTGGAAAGGTAAAGCTGAAGATGAATGACGAAACAGTCAATAATTTGCCAGACATGATGCATATTCTGGGGCTTACCAAAAATATGATCTCCATTGGAAGTATAGTAAATGTGGGTATCAATTTCAACAATGACAAGTATTCATGCAAGTTGACTTGGGGAGCTATGGTTGTTACAAAAGGAGAATGTCATGGCAAATTATGGAAATTGCTGGGTAGCACAGTGTTTAATGGTGAAAGCTACATATCTGAACAGGCAGATGAGGACATTGCAATGTTATGACATATGAGGTTGGGGCATATTGGTGGAAAATGTCTGGAGACTCTGACATCAAAGAAGCTGGTGGATGGAATTCTGAATTACTCTATAGGTTTTGGATTTTGCAAACATTGCCTGCACAAGAAGCAAAATTGGGTGTTTTTTGAAACCATAAGAGGAAAGGATCCTAAACCTGATACACAAGGACGTGTTTAGCCCCACACCAGTAGCATCACATGGAAAGTCAAGGTATTATGTTTGTTTTGCTGATGATTTTTCAATATATGTATGGTTATATTTATTGTGCAGCAAGGATGAAGTGTTTGAGAAATTTTGCGAGTTCAAGGCCTTGGTGGAAAATCAGTTTGACGAAAAAAATCAAGGTGCTAGCACCTAACAAAGGAGGAGAGTTATGTTCAGCAAAATTTGAGCAGTTATGTGCGAGCAGTGAGATTGCAAGGCAGAAGACTACGCCTTACTCACCTTAACATAATGGGGTAGCAGAGAGATTGGATATGTCTTTCATGGAAAAAGCACAAAGTATGTTGAGCGGTGCAGACTTGGCAACTGAGTTTTGAGTGAAGGCAGTGGCTACTACTTGCTATTTGAAGAACAGATCTCCTACATCGGCCTTGAAAGAGAAGACTCCATATGAAGCATTGTCGGGAAGAGGCCAGACATAACACATGTCAGAGTGTTAGGCTGTGAAACATATGTGCATGTACCCAAGGAGAAAAGAAGCAAGCTTGACTATAAATCAAAAAAGTGCATCTTTATTGGGTACAAGGATGGCGTCAAAGTTTACAAGTTGTGGAATCCAGATACTGAAAGTGTAACTTACAGAATAGAGTTGTGTTCAGGGAATCTAAGCCGAATCAGATTTTTTTGAAAGCTCCTGAAGAGCCATAGACAGTAGAGTTAGATGTGGGTTTGAAAAATGATACAGTAAACCCACAGGTTGGAGTGAAAAATTTAGATTCTGAAGTTGTTGAATATAACGGGATAGAAGATGAAGATTCTGAAATCAAGGCTGAAGTTGAAGCAC